GTATCTCTTACAAAAATATACCTTACCCAACTTCTACATCAATCCGTTGAGTATCTCTTACAAAAATATACCTTACCCAACTTCTACATCAACCCGTTGTGTACCTATTATATAAATATACTTAACCCTGTTCTACATCAACCCATTGTGTACCTATTATATAAATATATCATACTAACTCATGAACATACTTCAACCAACTTTAATTACCTTCTATTCCAAAACAGTTAAATGAGTATAAACTCCAACATAGCCTATTCCTAGCTTGACAAGGTACTTCAAAATCACAGTCCTAGTTGCTATAGCAACTTAGCTGGCAGTAATCTTCCATATAACCAATTATCCAATCTGTACCAGGTTAATCAATGTTATTGCTTCAGCTGTTTTATTTCTCCACTTTTCTACTTATTTTATCAAAATAATTTAAACAAATGTTCCACAAAAAATATCCACTTCCTGTGGGTTATCTCACATTGTGGGTTATGTCACTTTATCAGCAAATAAGGCTGTACTTTTAAACTTAAATAGGTAGCAGGAAAGTCAGGTACTTACACTTTCAATAATAGTTACCAAGTCATCTGGCAGTTTTTCCATAATGGTTTCAACAGAATTTCCAGATGGCACTTTGCTCATTATAACAACATTGCTTAAAGTAAACATGTTCTCTGATTGATGTTCATCAGTAATGAAACCTGCATTCATTGTATAATTCAGCCCATTCAATTCAAAATTTCCTTTGGCTAAAGCTATGTTTGCTGAAACAAAAAATCACTTTGTAAACATTCTGTTCATTACAAAGACAGTGATATATTTATTTATATATTTTTTGAAATTTCTATGTATATATTAAATTCATAAAGAGGCACGTGTTATATAAAAACACATAACCAATTTATAAAAAACCATAAAAAACTATATTTATGTTATGTTGAAAACAAAACAATATATGATTATAATACTACTTTAATATAAACAAAATGTATAATAAAAGACAATTAAATGAAATACTCCACATACAACAATACTGTTGTAATGTTTACAAAACTAAACATATAATATATCTAAATATCTAAATATTAAATATATATAAATATTAAATATATATATATAAATATAAACAAAATATTTAACCCTCTGCTGTATAGTTTAGATTGTTTAACCCTTGTGCTGCATAGTTCAGATATATCCAAATAAACATTTATACTCACTGACAAATAATTCAGATTTATCCCATGGCTGCCCTAAAAACATTTCCCTCTACTGCAACATGCAGGATTTGTACCTTGTACTTGAAACAATCTCCAACCCTGCATGTTTATATGCCTCAACTGATTGACCACTTGGTGACATGCACTTTAACTGTTTTGGAGCTATATTTTGCTTTACATGTGAGTTACATACGTGTTATGTTTGTTACTCTGTCAGTTCAATGAATTTTTATCGATCAGTACTTTGTCGCCCAATGAAGAGTCCAGTAAGAGGGTCAAAATCTTGCATATAAAAGTATTTTGACATTATGAGTCTTAAACAACAATTAATCACAATGTGTCTTACAAGAGACAAGTCCAAAATTCACTAATGTCTCTAGTAAGGTTTGAAATTTATCACAATGTGTTTTACAAGAGACACATGTCTGAACTTCACTGATATCTCTAGTAAGGTTTGAAATTCATCACAATGTGTCTCACAAGGGACACGTCCAAAATTCACTAATATCTCTAGTAAGGTTTGAAATTCATCACAATGTGTCTCACAAGAGACACATCTGAACTTCACTGATGTCTCTAGTAAGGTTTTAAAGTCATCATAATGTGTCTTACAAGAGGCACGTCTGAGCTTCACTGATGTCTCTAGTAAGATTTGAAATTTATCACAATGCATCTTACAAGAGACACATCTGAACTTCACTGATGTCTCTAGTAAGGTTTTAAAGTCATCATAATGTGTCTTACAAGAGGCACGTCTGAGCTTCACTGATGTCTCTAGTAAGATTTGAAATTTATCACAATGCATCTTACAAGAGACACATCTGAACTTCACTAATGCCTCTAATCTTAATTTCACTAGTTTCTGTAATACAATGATCTATTACAAGAACTTCTTTACAGTAGATAATGATGGAGAATATGGCCATAAATAATCATTAATATGATTAAAATTAATTAAAACAAATACAATATCACATTAAACCAACGAGTCACTGAGTTGTTTTTGTTACAGTGGATCTAGACTGTCTGCACAATCCTGAACCAACAATTTGAAATGTGATGATAGCCACAAAGTTGTTTTCAACTGTGGTATGTAGTACTACCACTAGCTTTGGTTACTTCCACTTCAATCAGTGTACAGCTGGATAAATAAACAATCTGGCTCAACTTGATAGAGTAAGACAATCCTTCTAAGGTACAATCGCAGCAACTATTACTGCAGGCTTCTTCTTCTCTAATGACTGGATAGAACTTACCACTTCATACCTGGTCATAACAAAAATTGACTCGGTTAGAGAAAAAGTATAATTCACACCCAAGAAGTGCCTCATTGTCTCTCTGAGAAAAGCATAGATGAGCTTATCCATGAGGACATCGTCACAACCGGCTGCAGACCAGAAAACAACCGGCTACCGTGGGTGAAGAGCCGCTCTATGAAACAAAAACTTGAAGTGAACTCGATAACCACACGAGGAGAAATGACAAGTCAATGGAGAGTTTGCCAAAAATAATGAACAGAACAGAGGAAACAAACCAAAAGATGATAGCTGTTAGAACTAGTAAAAAAGAAAAGGAAACAAACCAAAAGATAATATTACAACTAGTAAAACAGAATGGAGGAAATAAACCATTGTCTGTAGATACAAGCCTTTATTGAATAGGAGCTCTCAAAGGCTACCAGAAAGAGTTAATTCTGGTAAGTGTTATGTGTTTGAAACCAAGCCAAAACTGTCAGGAATTAATAGTTGTTATCAAGCCAAGGATATCCAGCCCAATCAGATCAAAGGAACAACGTGAAGATCAGCTGGAAATACTCAATGAGAAAGGATGTTCATTATCAGAGAAAAATCATCCACAAGTCTATTATTATAAACCCTGTAGCATGCTGATTGACACTGGTTCCAAATCTACAGCTGTTCTCACCCCAATTTGTTAATAAAAGATGTAAAATTTCCTCCAGTGATGAAGAAAGAAGAGAGATCAATACAAACACAAGATGAACATAAAGTTCTAGCAAAAGGGAAGATGGAAGTTACCCTTATGGTAGGAAGCTTCTCTACACCTCATGACGTGTGGATGATTGACACTGAAAAAGAGTGGATATTGGGAACTGACTTCATGTGGACACTTAGATGCAATGTTAGGCTCGCATCAGATAGTCGCATAGTCTATCACCAGGAAATCCCTGTAAAATACATGGAAATTACTATACCAGAGATTGAACTTTCAGTGACAACAGTGAGAATGGACACCAAGTGAAATAGTCACACCAAGAATTATTAATAAAAATTTTTCATCTAGTGTGTGGTGCCTAGTGGAACCAAATACTCAACCATGTCTTGAAAAATTGGTGGTTGGAATAGCTCTCGTGGATGTGAAGAATAAAGATGTCATACTAAAATTAGTTTCAACTGGATAAGCAAACTTGTAGGTTGCCAAAAGTTCTTGATGAAGCTGTAATAGTGAAATATATCATCCAGGAAAGACTTGTGATAGAACAAAAGGAAGCCATGATATGAATGATTTCACTGAGATGACTTAGTTCGGTTGAACCGCTCTTGTTGCAAGAGAAGACAAAGTTGACAGTTAAAATCATAAATACTATTCAACGTTAAACTGGTACACAATTAGAAATTGTTTTTAATTGTGTACCAGTTTAACGTTGAATATTATTGATGATTTTAACTTTATACACAAGTGCCAAAATACTATAATTAAAGTTGACAGTTGTTTGCAAGAGCCATGTATCATAATGAAAAAAATCTGGAAAGACGGGCAATCTAAACCAAAGGTCATCCACTGTAACCATCTTTGAAGATGCGTCAGTCAGAGAAGGACTAACAAGGTAACACAAGTGAATCACTAGTCAGTATTAAAACAACTTTGTGAATGGACAACTTAGCATAGTGTTATATTTTTTGCATTAGGATTGTTCAAGGGTCTTCACAATCCAGAATGAGGCAGTGTTGTAAGCTACATTTTAAATGTGTAGTTTGTTCAAGTTTGTAGAAACATTAAAAGGAGGAAAAAGAGTAAATTGTTCTCATCACATGGAATGAACATTTAAATACTTTTACCAGAATAAGTTAAAAGGATCAACAAAGAAAAGAAAAGCACTGCAACAATATTTTGCATACTTTAACAATATTCTGGGCATAATTGTTTTAAAAATTAAAATATATCATTAAAATTAAATACATCAATGTTTGTTGTGCTGATAGCCTTATATTAAAAAATAAATTTCAAACAAAATGAGGGTACAGATGTTTAAAATACAAATATTCTTGCTTTATTTGGTTCTAAAATAATTACTGATTTATAGTAAATATAGTTCTAAGCAAACACTTTCCATTGTTTAGGATTTGTTACATTTCACAATGAAAGAGAACTGTCACTAACCTGTGTCAATGTTACCAAAGTCCAGAACAGTCAAGTTGCTCTTCTTGTTTCCAATATAGCTTTCTACCACAAACGTTCTTGAAACATAACTAAACATTAAGTCAATTTCTTCTAAATCTGACACCAATAGTCCTGATGGGAGTGATGGTCTAACAAGCACTAAATGTGATGGTACACAATGTGAATAGCTGCAACTGACACTGGTAAAATCAAAACACATCCTTAGCCATTTAATACAATAATTAAAACTTACATGTGAAAACTTTAATTAAATGTTCAACTTATACATTTGTCACTAAATACTATTGTAAAACAGAGGAATATTTAAACAAACGATTTTCCCAGACTCATGCTGCATTTCTAATTACTACTTTCATCAATGACTGCTCTGATTCTGATGCTCAACACTTACAACTTTCAATGTAACATAGAAGATGGCAAAAGTCACACATCTTCACACTTTCTATTGTACATGTCAATCACCAAGACCATGTTTCATTAATCACAGACTATACACACACTAAAAACACACACTATAATTCACAACAATTCACGCACTTTACTTACGACTTGACTCAATTATCTGTCTCCCTATCTCTGTCTGCTATCTAATTAAATTCTTGCTTTATTTTCCGTGCTTATATACAAGAATAGAGGCATCTAGAATGCACTCGCCTCTTCATGAACCTTCTAGACACTTATCACGTGTTACCAGCGTCACTTCATCTCCGCTGTCGTAACACTGCCCCTTCCTTAGTATTGTTCGTCCCAAACAATAGCCACTTACATTAAACTTACATTAAACCAATAGATAATTAACAATAACTTGATTAAATGTACAGAACTTACAAACACAAAATTAAAATTCTTAATCTTAACGGCATATCTTCTTCCGTACTGGTCTACATCTCGTTGGCTTCTCCTTTACGTGGGGTTCATCTGCTATATCAGGAAATGTCCTATTATTGACAACAAATACTAAGGAAGGGGCAGTGTTACGACAGCGGAAGTCACGTGACGCTAGTAACACGTCATGCGATTCTCGAAGGATTGTGACTTCTCCTGGCAACTCTAGTCTTTTCTAGGCACCCTCTATTTCAGTATATAAACCCAGCAAATAATTGCAGATAGACAGAGAGATTGAAGATAGAGATAATCGAGTAAAGCCGTAAGTAAAGTGTGTGAATCACTGTGATTTATAGAGTGTGTTCATAAAAGTAGCCAGTTTAAAGTGACTGTGGAAATTCTGTGTATTGCAAAGCTGTATCGAGAAAGAATAAACTAGTTTTAATTAAAAAAGGACTGTATTGCTGAAGTTTCTCGGAGAGAATTTATACCAGAAATTAACAAACGACCACATACACAACAGTATGATATGTTGTTTATACAGTATAGAAATGTGTTGAATGGATAAGAAAGAAAACTTTATTACCAATTTGATACAGTAATAAATGTACATAATTTGGAGAAGGTTTTTCCATCATCAGGTACAAGTAATGTACCTAGACAAAGAAATATATATATACAGTATTAAGCAGTCACATGACTGGAGATTAGTCAAGACTTAATAAAGGTATCTTGTTGATGTTTGGTTTGTTTTTAATAGACATAGTATAGTATTATTGAGTTGCAATGTTTGCAAGTACAAGTTTTTTTTTTAATGTTCACCAAATAAAACTGTCATCATATCAGAAAAGTTTACTGTTTAATTAGTATGGTAGTCAACTGCAAAACATTCTTTACTGAATATTGTTTTTATTCAAACAAGGTACTTAAATAAATTGGCTAACTAGCTACTTAATTATTTCTAAATTCAATCATAAAAAATTGGAAATAAAAACATTATTACAATTATCAATGATGGTAATATATTTTCATTATTTAATTATCAATTTATTTCATTTACAGAAAATCAGTGTGGGATTACAGCATAGTTTAAAAACAAACATAATAGCAACCTCATGTTGGTAGTTGGTTGATATTAGCAATTCATTTGGCAAGTAGGAAATATCCAGTTCATCTTAAAAAGAACTATGTGAAAATAGTTTTTCAAATACAATTGTTTTTTTTTGGTTTTTTGCAAAATGTGCAAATGGTGAAAAGGTTATCAATAATATGATACCAAAAATTATTTTAAAAAGTGCAAAATGTTAGAATAATGTAGTGGTTGAAAAAAATTAGTTAGTACTGGAAGATATAGTAATTGATTAGAAAAGATCAATAATCACTGACTGTGTAAAAGGTTACTCTGTTCATTATGAAGGGTTTTCTTTATGCATTATTTCCTTCTTAAAAGGCTTTTAATAAAGTAAGATTTTGCTTTTTTTTATTGTGTTTGGATTGAACATTATTGCTGAAGGGTACTAATTTTCAGTATTAAACATTTTCTTGTATCTGTTACAGTTTATTTTTCTATTCATATAAAGTAATTTCCAATAGATACACTCTATTCTCTATACACAGTAACTATTCCTCACGAGTCCACCTTTCAGACATGCCACTAGTCTCGAGATATCTCTTACTTAACATACATGTAATAACTAGTCCTTCATTTTTGAAAAATGTCTATGGGTTGTAAACAGCCCCTGCCAAACACCTCATGGAGCTGTTAGTGGACAGACTGCATATTGATTCTTTATGTAAACTGGACAATAAAAGTTAATTTGTACTGACTGAATTGTACTGTCAACAAAACAATTTCTATACTGTATAAACAACATATGCTACCTATAACCTAAGGTCCACCTTTCAAACGTGCTCAGGTATTGTATTTTTGTGTTAAATTGATTTCTTGAACCTACATAATTTAAAGCACAGATACTTTCACAGCTCACAAACCAAAGGAAATGAAAGGATTGTTTACAGAAGCTATAAAAAAGAACAGTAAACCCATAATTTTTACTCTATTAATAGTCTAATTGGTAGTCTAATTGTAACTTTAATCAATCATATTTAAACTTTCTTTATTGGTACTTTCAAAGCTGCTTTCTTAGTAAGTGTTTTAACCTGTACAAGGGAAATGCTTGAAAATTGAGGATAAATATATATATATATATATTGCAGCTTTTTATTTTCCTTCATGAATTACACTAAATATATCATTTCTAAAATGTTTATGATGGATACAGCCCCAACACTACTGTCGTATACCTCTCACTTTGTAACCAATCAAGGGAAATGAATGATCTTTATTAGGCAAAAGTAAAAACCTAGTATTTTTTATATTATTCAAGTAGTGTAAATTTAAAGTCAAACAACAAAAAGGTTCGAATAAGATTTATTTAATTCTATTCATACTATTTATTTTGTAAAATATAACTTTTGATAGTAATAACTTTCATCTTACAAAGTTTACAAACCATTAGAGAATTAATAAGAATAAAACTTGGAAGTCTATTCAGACAGTATTCTATTATTGTGTTAACAATTAATAACAATGCAGTAATGTTTCATTTTTACAATGATTGTATGATACCAGTTAAAAGGTAGCTTTGTAACACTGTAACCAAATTTTTGGTAATTTTTACATTAAGAAGAGATTTCCACTATTATTAAAATAGTATTTTAGATTAATCAGTGTTTATCATGTAGTGTTAAAGTAACTTGAATAAGTCAAACAAAGTTTAAACCTTTCTACATGGTTTGAAGGCCATGTCATCCCATTTGTTGGCTCATATTCACAATGTTATTGAACAACTATTTTATGTATTTATGTCATTAAGTTTGGTATCAGACTGTAGATTATAATTCAAATTTATTTTAGTATTATACATTACTCAATTTCTTAATTTAAAAGTAAATATTAAAAAAAAAATATCTAAATGTCAATTTTTTTGTGTCAAGTGGTATGTTGAATGTTCACAGTGTGCCACTGAACTTTGACAACCTCCAATCAACCTTGTGTCATAATCAAATTTTCTGAAACTCTTCATGGTAGTCTGAATTTCATAATTTAATATCCAATTTTGTAATTTGAATTTTAAAACACTGGTTTAGTTACTACTTTTGCTGAAAGACAGAGAGAGTAAAATAGGATAATAGAAGGATAATTTCTAGAGAAACCTGACCTGAGAGCAAAGAACTGGAAAATCTCACTTATGAAAATGAAAAGACATAAAAGAAAGATATACAAAGTTAAAGTAAGAGTGACTAAGATTTTAGCAGAGGAAGAAGTGACCTGGATGCCAGGTGGTGAAGAAGAGAAAATGAAGACTGAGCCAGCCAAAAAGGTGCTACAAACGTGACCTGACAAGGAGTGTCAAAAATTATTGTCAAGACACAAGGGTGAAGACAGTAGGAAAGTACCCATACAGAATGAGATTAGACCAGTCCTGGCTAAGGGCATCCACACATAGAGTTGTTGAGTGAGGTACCAGGAACCAGAAGAGGGGTGAGTTTGGTACTGAGAGGAGTGACAAAGGCATTGATCGTTGGTATGCCTAACTGGGAACAAATCCAATGAAATACCTGTGGATGGAGTATCCACTCCATAGGAAAAATCTTGTATGGTTGAGGGAATTGATCCACCACCAAGTTTAAAGCTTCCAAGACACAACAGGCTCTCAGACAAACCTGATATGAGTGGACCTAAAACAGAAAGTCCAATGTATGGAAGCAAAGTCCCTGGAGCAAGTCCCATCCTGTTAATTGACCTTAGAATTGTCAGAGTGGATCATAACCAAATTATCCACAAGGTAGAAAATAAAAACATACCCAATGGATAGCCAAGAGTTCCAGGATATTAATAAAAAAAGGTGTGCTCCACATGAGGCCAAACCCAAAGGTTGTGCAGTCATCCAGAGATGCGACCCAACAAATAAGAGATGAGTTGGTAAAGAGAAGGAATATCCAGTCAGGAGGGAGAAGTGAAACACCAACTGTAGTAATGGCATGATCCAACCACCAAGAGAGACCAGAGGATCACAACATTTTCCAATGGTTGCTCAATATCCAGTGAAGAAGCCTCATGTGGGTCTGGCCTAGAGAGACAAGAAGAGCCAGAGATATAAAGATTCCCCAAAAGACATAGAACCACTTGTGCAGGAAGTATAGGAAAGGTAAGAGTCCAGGTGACTAGATACTCCATTTCTAACAGATGAATAGGGAATTCTCAGCACGACTGTGTCAAATACTGAAAATGGCTCCAAGATGGACCAGTTCTAAGTCAGGAACAACTTGGAAAACATGACAAGCCATCTTTTGAAGGAGAAGCAACATGGCTGAGGAGGAACCAGTGATTCATGTAATAATGTAAATGAAGTCCAAGACTGTGGGCATGATGAGCATATGCTTTCATGACTCAGATATAGACATAAAGAGCTGAAGTGATGCCAAGGGGAGAGCTCAAAACTGGTACACCTAATCCTAGTGAATGGTACACAATGTGAAAACAAAGCAATGAGAATATGGAGAAAGGCATCCAAGACATCAACCTTAGTCAACCAAAGTCATAGGGAAAGTGGCCAAAAGAAAGGAAGAAACTCCATATTGAACCTAGGAACCACCAGTGGCTGTAAGAGAGGAAAGGTCGATGACAGGACACCAGTCCCCAGTCTTTTAGGGGACAACAAACATATGGGAATAAAACCCTGGAGAGGGCCTAATGACTCTATTGATGGTTATGATGTCTCAGAGATCTTATACAGTATCCTTAAGATACAGAAGATTGGATAGAGAAGGAAAAGCAACAGGATAAGAGGACAGAGGAGGAAGAGATGATAAGTTAAGAGAAGGACTGTGTAAGAGCCTGAATGACCCACTAGTCAGTACAGGGCCTGAGCCGACTAGGTACAAAAGGATAGAGTCACAGATGGAATATTTGACAGCAACTTGATTAGAGGAGGGATGACAAGAAGTGACAGAAGGACAAGAAAAAGTTGAATAGAGAGAGAGTTGAAGGGCTCACAAGATCAAGGAGCAGCAATGAACCAAGCAAGTTTGAGGAGTGGCAACGGACTGATGAGACTGTGAGAGACAAAAACCAAGGACTAAAGGAAAGACCGGTATCAGACAGCCTTGGCGCGAGTCTCCAAGGTTTTAGGAATACCTCTGAAGACTAAAGTAAAGTAGCAAAACTAAGGTCACAGAGGTAAAAATGGGGAAAAAAATGAGAGTGAGAAGGGCATAACATTGAAGAAGGTCCCAATAACAGGGGAACTAAGTAAGCAGGAAAAAGGCAGAAGATGGAATACAAAACTATCAGGATCACAGTGAAGGGCTTCACATAGGAGATGTAGAGAGAATAGGTAATGAAGAAAATGGGTATGAAAAAGGCAAATATGGGACAAATGAAAACTAGAAAGTGTTATTGAAGACAAAGGATCAGTCCACCAAGCAGGTAGAAGAGACTTCAGGGTTGGGAACCCAAGAACATAAAAAGAAAAAGGCCATAAGTCATGCCAAAGGAGGTTGAAGCATTTGAGAGTAGGAACGAAACTGATCCAGAAACGTGTCAACCTGAGCTTGTATGCCTGGAGAAAAAGGAAAAAACAAAGAGTCTTCAGCATGAGAGTCACATAGTAAGGAATAAGAAGAATTAAAAGACATAGAAAAAGAGAAAAGTAATGAACAATCCTGAGTAAGCAAATCCACAAAGTAATTTGGAAGAGAAACATTGTCCCCAACATGTAAAGAGGCAAGAAAGGCATCTGAGAACTCATGACACAATGAACTAAAGCAGTAACATCTTTCAAAGTCAATGAAGTCTCCAGTGTCTACAGATAAAGGAAGGGAAGTGTTATCAACATTACCAAAACCTAATAATGATGTATTAGTCATTGTCACTTGAGAACTCATGGTCATTGCAGCAATTTTTCAGATCAATTTTTTCTTAAGTTATTTAGTGGCAACATAACATTAAATCAAGGTTAAGTCAAACTAAAAAGAAACCAAATAAAGTCAACACTGTGAAAAGGTAATGCAAACCTCATGAAACTGATTAAATTTAAACTTAAAGAAACAGATCTGTTAAAGACAGCGCCAAGGAAAAGAATAATGTTAATTTCAGGTGCAAGTGATTATGGGGATCCACTACTGGTGGATGGCTACTTTCACATGATAATTACATCATGCATTAGTGCAGGTCACATTATAACATTTCTTAGATTGGAGATAGTTTTAGGCCAGTAACATGGGCAAAATCTCAAAGGCAAATTCACGAGAATTAGCTACTGTGTACAGAGATGCAAGTCTATTGTTTCAGAAAGGGTATTTTTGTTCAGTATAATTTGTAATGGTCTTCTTTGTTCAAAGGTTGTAATATATGTATGGTCTGTAAGTTACTGCAGGAGCAAAAGAACATTAGTTCACTCTTCAACCAGAGCAGGAGTTTGCAGTTCATCAGATTAATTGTCAGCTTGAGGACAAACCTGAAAGAGGGAAGAGAGAAAAGTGCGGTATATGTTTCTATCTTGTTGTATTATTATAATATTATTTTGGTATTTACCACGTGTAGGTTTCACACATGTGGCCAAAGAACCTGTTAAGTTCATCTCATTCTAGCTGTCTTTGTTCCTTTGTTATTCTTGAGAAGATAAAATCTGTTCTACCTGTGGAAGATATTGCTGTAATATTGTACTACATGCAAGAATGTTGACATTAGTGTCCTTCAGTGGTAGTTTGGATAAGATCTCGAGGTTACAGCCTCACCTATGTTGGATTGAGAATGACCAGTCACATGAGTAGTGCTATTGTTTTGGGTGGATACAATATTTCTTGTGAAGAGGGGAAGTTTAATTTAATCAGTCTGGAAAACGATCTTGAAGAGTAAGCAGTTTAAAAAAGAATCCAATAAAAGTGACCATCCATGTGTCAGTATCAAGCACACATACACACAGTTTGTGTTAAGTGTGATACTGATAAAAATTGTTCATTTTGTAATTTATTTTGTATACAAACACTATTTCATTAATTCTTGTGAAAGTGCTATTCAGAGATTTATCATAACTTCATAATAAATATCATGATCAAATCTCCTGTTAAAATTATTCTGTGGACCTATTCCACTACTCTTAAATAAATTAATTTTTGTCTGAATATGCCACATAAGAAACACATTCTACCTTGTTAATTCACTGGCTACAAAAAACAAAAAATTCACAAAATATACAATGTGACTTCTTATCTTACTAGTCATGAAAAATGCAAACTCTACAAGAAACACATTCTAACTTTTTAACTTACTAGATATAAGAAACACAAAATCTATCAAAACCTTTTCTTAATTAACAATTTACAAGAAACACAAAATCTGTAAGAAACATATTATATATTCTTAACCTAACAGCTACATAAAGCATATAACGTACATAAAATGCAAACTATTGGAAATAATTATAGAAATACACAAATGATAGACATACAAATTTCGCAATGTGTAACCATAAGTTATTGTTCAACTTATAATAAAAGTAAGATAATATTTTATAATGGAAAATACAAAAAAAAGCAAAGAAGTTGTATAATGTACTAGTATTTTGTATTTGTTTAAATAGAGTATTATATTTGTTTTTATGTTAATACAAGTTTATTAACTTATTACTGTGAAGAATTGTTCCACATGTCTTGTATTACTCCACACAATTCAGCAAAGTCACTAAGTTGCTGTTTTTACCATCTCAGTTTCCGGGTAATCCCATAAAGATTGAATATTATTTGTTTCATAATGAATAAGACAAACCATAAATGTTTCTGTCCCATAAAGTATTTTCACTGCCAAGTATCATTTGGTGCATATTTGAGATCAGAGTCTTGCTGGAATATGAATCCCTGGCAAACAAATCTTGCTTTTATGGGAATAATATGATGGAAAAGTTTATGCATGTACCTGTCAGCAGTCAAGGTACCATTAGTATTGCTTAGATCTCCAACAACACTAGCTGATATGCAGCCCACAGTCTTAATACTCCCCTCCAGGTACATGGACAGTGATAGTATCCTCCGCTCTGCCATAAAACACATTATTGTTCATTACTACATTCATCAACCAAAACTTTGATACATTTCTCATGTGGTATTTGTCCTGGGAGCCCTAAATGGATTCACTACATTACTGCTGAGAACAGTGCTTTTATTCTTAAAGCATTATGTTGTAATGGCAATGACTGTCGGGATAACAGCCAATCAGTATAAACTGTCCATACAAAACTCTACTATTGTGCAGCTCATAATATTTGCATTTTATACCATTTTATCTCCATTTACAGTATAGTATTACTTTGCAACTCATTAGCTATGAAACATGTACTCTATAAGAAACAACAATAACAGGATACATGTAAACGTACATGTCATCAGAAATAAGCCACAATTACCTTGAATTCACATGGAGAATTAAACTTTCTTTGACATGTAGCAATTCAGCCAAAAGCTTCGGATCTGTCCCGTTCACCCAGGTATAAACAGCATCTATTGGCACATACTGGCAAAGCCTGAAACAACAAATCTTTTTTTTTAACATTTTACTTGACATAAGTTTTAAAACACAAAACTAATAGGCTTAAAAAAGGATAATTTCAAAATTTGAGGGGGAAATAATTCCTAGTTAGTTAAACATTCAGTGTGAAAGTGAATGCTCAAGTCCACACTCTAAACAAAGTGCATTAAGTTGTGTGACGATGACTGCATCTAGTCCACACCCTAAATTAAGTGCATTCAGTTGTGTGAAGATGACTGCATCTACTCTACACTTTGAACTAAGTGCATTCAGTTGTGTGAAGA